GCCGCGCCGGGGAGGGAGGGAGGGCGGCGCTCTAGGGTTTAGGGGCGGGGCGGGCCGGATCCGGGGGCGGGCGGGTCGGAGGGGATGACGAAGGCGGAGAGGGATTGTGCGACTGATTTCGATTTGCAGGCTGTTCGGCGAGGGCTCCCGCAAACAGCAGCTCGACGCACAGGCTTGATGCATAACTGGGCCGGCCCACCAACGCGATCCTTGTTTCGTTTCCTTTCGCGCGCGACAAAAAGAGCTAAAAATCAACAGCGACTAACAGGAATCGATCCCAGGACCGCCAACCGCGAGCCATTAACCACTAGGCCACACACTACAAACTTAACTTTAGGTGCAGAAATATATAAGAACAGAGAGCAGCGTTGACATTTGGAAAACATTTTCAAAATATATCTTGAAAATTGCGACCAGTTTTTAAATGCCGCATTTTTTTGTATGCCATTTTGTGCAAAAGTGAAGATGTTTCGTAATTCTGATTTCAAAATGAAACACGAACAAAACTTGCAAACTCCAAGCAGATTCCAAAATCCGAACAATTTTCAAAAATGTTTCTGAAAAACAAACAAATTACGAAAAAGACGAACATTTTTGAGATCACAAACAGTTTTTTGTTTAAAAAAATGGAAAACAGGAACATTTTTTAATTCAGCACCAATAAAAAGCAAAACAGGAACTTTCTTCAAAATGCGAACAAAATTGGTATTGTACACTTTTCTGGAAACACGAACAAAATTTTAAATATGGGAATATTCGTTAAAATTGTGAACAAAATGTTGATATCACAAACATTTTTTGAAAAATGAACATTTTCTGAAATAATAAACAAATATCGAAGATTTTGTAAAAATTTTGAAATTTTTTTAAACATGAAATAATTTCTAGAACTGTGATATTTTCTAAATGAGAACATATTCTGAAATTGTGAACAAATTTTATAATTGAGATTTTCCGAAATTGTGAACGGATTTTGACATAGTAATTGTTTTTGAAATTTCTATAGATTTTTTTAAGAATGAACATTTTTTTTAAATCTGAACAAATTTTTAAATGAAGAACATTTTTTTATAATTTCAGCAAAAGCGTTTTTTGAAATCATGAACATTTTTTGAAAATCTCAAACATTTTTTTAATAGTTATGATTATTTTGAACAAAAGTATTCGCAACATTTTATGAAAACAAGAACATTTTCTGAAAGTCGTGAACATTTTTTGAAAAGCAACCATTTTGAAATTTCGAACATTTTTGAAATGTAAGAACATTTTTCGAATATGAACTTAGTTTAAAAAAGGTAAAATAACCTTCAAAAGGAAAAAAGAAAAAAGAAACAGAAAATGAAAAAAAGAAAAGGAAACAAAAACAAAAAATGAAAGAAAACAGAAAAACCAGTAAAAGAAACAAAAAACCAGTTCAGGGAACCTTTCGGAAGGTTCTCAAAACCGTTTGGCTAGTTTTTTTTTTTGAGACAAAACCGGTTGGCTAGTTGCGATTGTACGCGGCAAAACTGGGCCGGCCCATCACGTCGCTGCTCGGTCGCTCGCCTGTGCAAAGCGCCGGCAGTTTGATGCAAAGAGCGTCAAATAGGATATTCCGTTCGGCGAGGCTCCCAACCGAACGGGCACCGAGGCCGGATGGGCTAGGCCCAGCAGGTTAGCAGGCTCGGCCTGGTTTGGATAGCCTGGTTAGGCTGTGTTCACACGGGCCGAGAGGGTCTAGGATTCGGCTTTGTGAATCCGACGGTAAGTCCAACTGGGGGACCCCGACCCGAGCCTCCGGGTTGTAAAAGGCCACGGCCTACGCTGGTTCGGTTCCTCGCGCAGCGCACTCGAGCGAGACTCGTCCAAGGGAGCTCCTAGTCAGCGCTGCAGGCGGCTGTTAACGAGCGGGCGCCTGCAGCATCACTGGCATGGGCCAGCCCACGAGCGCGTACTCGCTTGGGAAAACAAAACGGTCGCTCCTGCTTCAGTCGCTCATCGCTCGCTTCGCTGGATCGGCCACTCACTAGCAGCCTAGTTTTTTCCCCTTATTTTCCTATTTCTTACGAAATAAAAAGGTGAAATCAAAACTGGTTTACAGATTTAAAGAAAAGGCTTCACCCATTTGAAAAAAAATCATCTCTTTAAAATAGGTTCATCGATTTTTCGAAAAAGTTTATCGATTTTCAAAAAAAGTTCACCAAATTTAAAAAAAGTTTATTGAATTTGAAAAAAGTTTGTCAGATTTGAAAAACGTTCATTGATTCCAAAAAAAGTTCGTCTATTTTGAACAATTTCATCAATTTAAAAAAAAATTCATTGATTTTGAAAAAATGTTCATGGAAATTGACCAAAAAAGTTCAACAAATTTGAAAAAAGTTCAGCAAAATTCAAAAAAGTTCATGGATTTTTTAAAAAGTTCATCAATTTGAAAATAGTTAATCGAATTCAAAAAAGTTCATCAATTTGAAAAAAAAAAGGCTCATGTATTTGCGTACAATTCATCGGGCAAGGGAAAAGAAGACAAAGGAAAAAGAAAAAAAGAAAAAAATGAAAAAAAACAGAAATGGAAAATGGAACGAATAAATGACGTATAGGTCACAGCTGCCCTTGTTGGTGGGGTGGCTAGAACAGGCGACCTTCGATGGGGATTTCACAGGTTCGAATATGTCTCGTATCGCTCCTTTTTTTGCCTTTTAACAGAAAAGGTTGGAAAGCAAAATGGGCCGAGCCCAAGTAGCCACGCCGGCGCCCGTTTGCTCGCGGGCGCATAAGCGCCAAATAGGATCTGCCCTCATCCAATCGCACCTCTCACGGCCGCAACATGGGGGAAGCCGGGAAGATGGAAGGGACGGCGGCGGCCACCGTGCCCTCGCTCCCGGACGACGTCGTCCGTGAGGTCCTCGTGCGCCTGGACAACGTCGTCGACCTCTTCCGTTGCGCCGTGTTATACTCGGGGCCTCCTTCCTTCACTGCCTCCGCTGGCCGGACTCTACACCATCGTTCCTCTCCGGGCTCTTTGATATGTCCCTGGCGTATCTATAATTTATTAAGTATTAATGCCATGTTTGCAACAATTCTATATGATTTTGGTATGATTTGATTAGAACTAACCCGAACTGACGTTGTTTTCAGCAGAACTACCGTGGTGTTGTTTTTTGTACAAATAAAAGTTCTCGGAACGAGCTGAAAATTAACGGAGAATTTTTCTGAAAAATATAAAAAATACGGAAATAAAAAGATACGAAAGAATAGTCCTGGGCTAACCACAAGGGTGGAGGGCGCCCCCACCCCCTTAGGGCGCGCCCTTCGACCTTGTGATCGCCTCGTGAGGCCCCCTGACGTGAAACCGACGCCAACCCCTCCTATAAATCCTAAAAACCCTAAAACAGAAGAGAGAGATCGAGAGTTCCGCCGTCGTAAGCCTCTGCAGCCACGAAAAACCAATCTAGGCCCCCTCTGGCACCATGCCGGAGGGGGCCATCATCACCGAAGGCCATGGAGGAGGATCCCAGAGGGGGCCATCGTCGCCATGGAGGCCTAGGACCAGAGGAGGAACCTCTCCCCATCTAGGGGGAGGCCCTGGAGGAGCAAGCACAAGGGAGAGAACCTCTCCCCCTCTCTCTCGGTGGAGTCGGAGTGCCATCGGGGGAACCATCGCCGCGGTGACCGTCTTCATCTTCATCACCATCCTCATCTCTTTTACGCGGTTCACTCTCCCGCACCCCGCTGTAATCCCCTACTTGGACATGGTACTTTAAGCCACATATTATGATCCAATGATGTGTTGCCATCCTATGATGTTTTAAGTAGATTTTTTTTGTCTTTTTGGGTTGATTGATGATATAGATTGGTTTGAGTTGTATGTATTATTTTGGTGTTGTCCTATGGTGCCTGCCGTGCCGCACACACGTGAAGGATTCCCGCTGTAGGGTGTTGCAATACGTTCATGATTCGCTTATAGTGGGTTGCTAGAGTGACAGAAGCTTAAACTCGAGTAACGGGGTTGTTGCGTATGGGATAAAGGGGAATTGATACTTTAATGCTATGGTTGGCTTTTACCTTAATGATCTTTAGTAGTTGCGGATGCTTGCTAGAGTTCCAAGAAGAGAAAGTATGTTAGCTTATGCCTCTCCCTCATATGAAATAGCAATAATGATTACCGATCTTGTTAACAATTGCCTAGGATAATTCTGCACACCGACCCATCATTATTCCACACTCGCTATCTATAATTTATAGTGATATATTCTAACTTTATACTAACAACACCTACTTTTATATATTAGTTCTCCGATATCATGCAAATCTATCTTCTTCATGCCCCAACGTAGTTTTATTTCTCGTTTTTAGTTGAAAGCAAATGTTTGGTGTATGTAGATTCGTATCAGCGACAGATAGGACTTGAGAGAATATTGATCTTACCT